GCCGGGTTACACGCACGGGCGGTGTTAGCTCCTATATGCAAAGATAGGTACTGAATGGGTCCCGGGCGACTGTTTTTACAAGGTAACATTTCTGAAGGAATAAGTAAAACTTGCGCAAATAGGGTGTCCGCAACCGGCCATAAATCTGGGGAAAAAAACCCGTAATTTTTGCACACATGCAGTAAATAAGAATACTCCTGGTTTTATACGTGTCTAGCCACAGGCCAGAAGTGAACAGAAACACCCGAGGTAGCGGTAGCGACACCGCTGTGTGCACAGATAGGCTTATTTTTTGCAAGTATATGAATGCATTCAGCCGCCTCTGACTTTAAAAACCCAGCACCGTGGTTCCCAGAGATGGCACTCGTGCAAAATATTACCGAAAGCCGTATTTCGGTCTTTTAAAAAAAAAAAAAATCATTCATGTCTGAATGCCAACGGCTGTTGCAAGGCGGAGTAGACGTTGTTCGAATTGGCAGCAGGGTGCGGGGCAATTCTGTCCGTGTATTTCCTTCCTTCGTCTGCTTACGTCTTTCCCGAAAGAAAATGCATTTCTCCAAATGTAAGTATTTAGACCCAAGGGCGGGTATGGGATGTTGAAGCTACCTCAAGAGTGTTTTTGATGGACTGTGTTTCAGTCCGGTTTTGTCCCTGACCAGAAAGGATGGAAGTTGGGATCTAGTGCTTCCCCTCACTTCATCATAGGCGTATAATGTAGAGCCGAAGACAATATGTGAATTTGCACGTACTTCGTGAGGTCAGGATGCACACGTGCATTTTGGAAGCCCCGTTGGCATTGTGTGATCAGAAATGGGTCGGTCACAGTGGCCAGCACACAGGGCTGAGCGCAGTTAGACGGTCCGATTGCAGCCAACTGCATTCTTTAGGCGTCATCATCTGTGTCACTGCTGGGTGCAGCTGAACTGCTGACTGCTCAGGAACCCGAGCCAAGTAAATCCCAATTTTTCTGATAGTTTTGTCCTGGAAGTGGAAAGAATGAGGCTCCTCAAAAACAGAAAAAAAAAAAAAAAATGGAACGTAAAGAAAAAACACTTTCAGTTTGCTGAATGCCACTAGAGTGTTCCGATTTCTAGAAGGTGCAATCAACGGTCTCTGAAGCTCCTGTTAGGATTGCACTGCCAGGTTTTACAGCCTCCATGGAAAGGATTGGTCTAAACATGTGGTACCATCCTACTCTGATCTGCCCACATACTCCTCCCTATTTTTTTTTTTCCTCTTCTAATGAGAAAATGCAAATGTGCATTCCCCTCTTCTCTATCCCTCCTTTATTCGCATAAGCCTGAGCGAGAGGATGCTACATCTGAAGTACAACAGGACTGACCCAGAGCTGGCAACATCAGCCGTTTTTTTAACCCCTTTCTTGACTCGAGAGCTTTTAAAAGGATAATTTATTTTAAAAGCACGCGATGATGAGCTAGTAATTATAGTGCTGAACAGTGCATGGTGCAGGAAGCTTCCAAACCGATGCGCAGTAGGCAAATATTGTCTCAGAAAAGAAAAAGCATCCTTAGGCTGAGGGAGGTATGCAAAAGGAGGTAAATGGGAGATCTTCAGTAGGAAGCAGATGTCAAAGTGCCATGTGTGCTCAGGGCATTTGCAATCTAAATATAGTGATAGAATCTGTAGTGATAACAATCACTAGGGATTTTTTCACCTGGCTGCCTGCTTGTCATGGAGATTGACATTGCATTTAAATGACAACAGTAACCGATTTCCCTAACAGGGATCTTTTGAGTGGTAAGGAGGGGAAAAAAGGCCTTTTCACGGGACTTCAGAAATGCGGAAGGGAACCAGATGAGGAACAGGAGACAGGTAGCAAGAAAACAAAACTTTGCTAGGAAGATGTGGCAGGGTGGGCATTGGAGATTGCCAAGGAAGCATGTTTGGAGCAACGTGGGGCTGTTGAGAGATTGGTGTGGGTCACCAGAAGCTGCCATCACCTCTCTGTGTCCTGCTTGTCCCATTATTTTTCCCAGTTCAGCTAGGTGATTCAGTTTTCATGCGAACATCTTGCCCTTCTCCCTAGTCAGACTTTCATTTCAGGATATGGGGCCTGAGGAAAAATGAGATGGAAGCTAAAGACAAAATAGGGACGGAGGAGTATGTGGTTGAGATGATGTATCTTGAGGTTCAACAGGATATGAAATGTTCAGATTCAGAAGTAAGAGAGGAGTGAGCCCGTATTTCTTGGTGACCTGCACTTAACAGCATCCAGCTAGGAGATGATACAGAGAATTCAGCTTCAAATGATCGTTTATGGTGTGAAGAAAGCAGTAAGATTTGTGGCAGTAAAATCTGGTTCAGCCAGCTCCATTACTTGGGTTGCTTTCTGCTGAGTCCAGGATGTCATGAAACGCGTTTCTTTTGCTGCCACCTGAAGGGTTGTTTTTTTCATCCTGTTCCTATCTCTGTATTTCAGGATCCTTTCATAGCATTTCATCTTGACAAGGCACTAGTGAGAAAGTACATGAGCCCACTCTTAATTGGGGAACTGGCACCAGATCAACCCAGCTTTGAGCCCAGCAAGAATGTAAGTATCTTAAAAACTTGATATTTGGGTTGAAATTCTGCTATTTAACATCTCTTACTGGCAGCCAGAATTCCCTGTACGTGAAATGATAGTATCTCCTAGAATCACTGTGTCGGTCTGAAGCTTCCCCTTGACTTCATGTCATTAGTAGTAGTCTTAGTGAAGATTTGTCTGCAGGTGACCCTCAGCTTTTCCCCATTGCCACAGTAGCTCCTCGAGGGGGGAAAACTGAGCTCCTGAGGCATTTTCAGACTAGCAGATACTCTTGGGTCTCCCCACAGAAAAAACTGGTAGAAGATTTCCGCGAACTCCGTGCAACAGTTGAGAAAATGGGACTTCTCAACCCCAACCGCACCTTTTTCATCCTGTATCTCTGTCACATCTTGGTGTTGGATGTTGCAGCCTGGCTCACCATCTGGTATTTTGGAGCATCCACAGTGCCTTTCCTCTTCTCTGCAGTTCTTCTAGGTACTGTCCAGGTAAGCAGCTAGGCAAAAAGGAGCCCCAGAAACACCAAAACCCAACCCTTTGAGACTTAGGTCCTTGTTGCCGTAAGCACAGAAGAAGTCTTATCTTCGCGGACTTCCCAAAATTCTGCTTCTCCCTGGGTTCCACCGAAGGGGCAACATTACAGTGCCACGACATGCTGCTTTGGTAGAGCAGGCTTTGCCCTGCTTTTTCCTTCCCGTAGTCCGTCAAAGCCCTCCTTATTCCCAGCCTTCTTCATACAATGAATGCCATGCTGCGCTTCTGAGGTCCCTTGTGCCAGAACTCCAAGGCACTGTGCAGGGGCCAAGCCACTGTGTTCCCATGGGAACCTGCAGCGAGTTAGAGGAGAGGGCAGAGCAGCTCTCAAAACCCCAGCTATTTCTCCTGTGGCCAGCTGATCCCCTTGGAATTACAAGTACTTGGAGGAGGCACCAGCAAGCTGCTCCTTAAAGGAGACTTTGTTGCCGACTTCAGTGCAGTTTTGTAAGAGAATAAATGCTGTTTCTGAGCTCTGTGATTTTTTTTTTTTTTTTTCACGATTTTTTCCTTCTTCATGAAAACAACTATCTGGGACTAAAAGTCATTAGGCAAAGTCTGGACTGCACTGGTATATAGTAAAAGATAAGTGGTTGGATTGGGTCTTAGTAGTGGAAATGCTCTCGCTATCCAGGGGTACGTTGCGAGGAGCGTGGGCGTGGGAGAAGAGAAAGCCCTTTTCAGATGCAGAGACTCCTGACTCTTCTTTTTCCCCAGCAGCATTGTTGGTTTTTTTTCCTTCCAGGCCCAGGCTGGCTGGCTCCAGCATGATTTTGGACACCTTTCAGTCTTTAGCAAGTCCAGGTGGAACCACTGGGTGCACAAGTTTGTGATCGGCCATCTGAAGGTGGGCATCACGATTTTTCCTTCTTCATGAAAACAACTATCTGGGACTAAAAGTCATTAGGCAAAGTCTGGACTGCACTGGTATATAGTAAAAGATAAGTGGTTGGATTGGGTCTTAGTAGTGGAAATGCTCTCGCTATCCAGGGGTACGTTGCGAGGAGCGTGGGCGTGGGAGAAGAGAAAGCCCTTTTCAGATGCAGAGACTCCTGACTCTTCTTTTTCCCCAGCAGCATTGTTGGTTTTTTTTCCTTCCAGGCCCAGGCTGGCTGGCTCCAGCATGATTTTGGACACCTTTCAGTCTTTAGCAAGTCCAGGTGGAACCACTGGGTGCACAAGTTTGTGATCGGCCATCTGAAGGTGGGCATTCGGTGCTGAGAGGGACTGCGAGAGCCTTGCCCGGGATGCTCTGCAGTCAAAACCATTCTCAGTATAAGAAGAAAGCAAATGCGAGGAACTGCTGGGGAGGGAGGACTAAGGGCAGAAGATACAACTTCTTTACGGCACTCTCTTCTCATCCCTTCCTGCAGGGAGCACCAGCTAGCTGGTGGAATCACCTCCACTTCCAACACCACGCTAAACCCAACTGCTTCCGAAAGGACCCTGACGTTAACATGCACCCCTTATTTTTTGCTTTGGGAAAAACACTCTCTGTAGAGGTGAGACCTGGTGAAGGCTGGGAGGTTATGGCATTAGAAGAAGAAAAAAGATCCTGAGGCATCACTAGCTTCCATATACTTAATGTGGCAACTGGTTTTTTTACGTTTTTTGCCCTAATACAATCTTGTTATGGGTTGAAATTTTCCAAATTTATTCTGAAGGTTAAAAAAACCCACCAAAACTGCTTCTGTAAAATGAGAAGTACATCCAGAAAATGGTTTGAGTTGACTTGCTATTTTATATAGTGCTACTTTCCTTCCACTAGTCCCTAATATTCCTTAGTAATACTTCAATACTTCTGGGATTTTTATATTCTTAACATTTCAATAGAAGTTATTTTTGCTATGTTTTAAAATAAGAATGTATATCACAATTACAAGTTCATATGTCTGATGAGAGACTTGCAGTTGTATGAAGAAGAGATTGCAAGGTTTTCTCTTTAACAAGATCAGCTTTGACTAATTGTAGTGTTTTGGGAAATGAAGCAGCAGATGACAAGGAAGGACTATCGGGAACTTTTACAATTACTGATCAAAGAAGCTGCTTCAGTGGTCTCAGTCTGACAGTGGATGTCAGACCGGGTACCACCTCGAGTCCGACGTTATTTCTGGTACAACTCTGAAATTAATTGAATGGCTTTAGCGTTTGCCGGTCCTTTAAAAAAATAGTTACATAAATTCATAGTGTCACCTGGCTTAAATGCTCTGATTTGCATTGAAATTAAGGGAGGGCTGCTCTTCCTAATTGGTTTGTACATGTACAGGGGTATAATGGAGTTCCTCAGGGAAGTCAGTGACGTGATCTGATATGTTTATACAGTGAAAACTGAAAAATTAGCAGTCTCGGAGGGAGGATAATTTATTCACCCCTGTTCCTGTGGACACAGTTTAATGTCTAGATGCTCATTTCTCTGCTTTGGAGACTAATTGCAAGTAGGTGGGAGTTCTACACACTGTCATCTTTGTTAATAGTGTCATAGGTTTTTCTTTTTTTCTGAAGGTCTATATTGGCAGCGAAGTGTTCTCAGTGCCTCATGTGGGTTTTGGTTTAAGTGTTGTTAGGCAGCTGTGCCCTCTGTAGGGAAAGAGCTTCCAGTGCACTTTGCTGTCTGTGGTGCAAGGGACTACCCAGCCTCTTGTGCATCCAAGGCAGGGATGAAAACTTATCAGAGCAGTCACAGACTGAAGTTCCGGGGGATGATGAAGCCAATGGCTTGGTGGATGCTGGCATGGTTTGACAGGACACCTCTTTCGAAGGTTAGGAGGTATCTAAGTGTGCGTTTCTTTGAAAGTGTAGGTAGGAGTGTGTGCACAGATGTCTTTAGCTGTCTTCACAGCCTGAGTAATTTGCTTATTTTAACAGCTTGGTGTACAAAAGAAGAAATTCATGCCTTATAACCACCAGCACAAGTACTTCTTCATCAGTGAGTAACCCTACCCTTTCGCAGTTGTATGGACAGCATTCACTCAACCCCTTCCTTTCCCAGTCCATCTCACTGGGATAAAAGGGCACCGTTAATGTCTCTGCAAATCTATTTCTCCACTCTAGTCGGTCCCCCAGCTCTGGTGCCTCTTTACTTCCAGTGGTACATATTCTACTTCGTGGTACAGAGGAAACAGTGGGTGGTAAGTCAGCTCCGCTTTGCCAATGGTGACTTCTCCTTGTTTTACAGATACATTTCAGTGCAAGAAATGACTGGGAGGAACTCTGGGCTGTGTATCTCTGTGGCAAGGGGTGTGGGTATACGATTTGGGAAATAATGTTTGCTGGGGGAGAGAGGGTACCTTCCGCACAGCCCTTCTCCTCTGTAAAAGATTCATTCACAGTTGGGTAACAAAAGATGTTCTCTGACGTTCTGGCTCGGTCCGGGGTGTGTGAGTGTCTGGAAGCATTCCTTCTGCAGAGTTGATGTTCATACAGAACTTGTCCTTCAGGTAGCATGAGAGTCTAGTTTAAGGTAGAAGTGGTCATTCTAGGCACTCTTTTTTTGTTTTCCCAAACCAATACAATAAAACCCTATGGGCACAGAAAAAGGGGGAAAGTAGCAGAAATCGGGGGGGGGGGGGGGGGGGGGTAAAAATCAAGTAGCTTTCAGGTAGCCTAAAGCTGAATCCTCGCAGTTCAGCGTGAAGTGGAATAGGGGATGTGTAGTAGACTTTCAGAGTTGTTAGGAAGATAGTTTGTAGGGGAAAATCTAGGACTTTGAGGAATAGCATGGTTTTTAGAGACTTTAGAAAAAATGCAGGAAAAAATGTCTCTTCTCTGAGATGTGGGGGTTAGAGATAAGGCATCTTGCTGTTTTATTCTTGCCTGGGAGGTGGGACCTTCAGGAGAAAATGAACATGAGGGAAATAAGAGATTGCAAGAAATGTGCAGAGGATCAAAAAAGGGTGAGATGGAGGTGAACCAGAGCTCTTTATTCTTTTAATTGGCTAGGTTTTTGGTTTTCTCACCGCTTTCTTTCTCTTTAGATCCAGAGGAAAATGTGATGCTTTAGAGCATGTCCTCTCTAGTGTTTGCCCTCTGCTGGGCTCATAAGACCAGGATAATTCCCGAGCACAGGAATGGCTGGGGAGCTGCTGTGTGTCAGACTGATTTGTGATGGGGCCGGGGAGGAAAAATCTGTCGGTAGAAGATATTATGGGAGGTTTTATAAGGGAGTGCCAGATAGAGTGGATGGTAAATTCAGAAGCCAGTAATTCTTCCTCTTAATGAAGTTTTATCTGTTCCCTATACTACAGGACCTGGCCTGGATGCTGACCTTCTACATCCGATTCTTTCTCACCTACTTGCCCTTACTGGGGGTGAAGGGTATCCTGGGGCTTCATTTGTTAGTCAGGTATCATTCAACTTATAATTCCTCCATTTTCTTTACCCAGTTTATATCGATCCTTCGTGTCAGCTTTTCTTCAGCCTCCTGGTTATCTTTCTCCTTGGCTCCCTGTTCTTCTGTCTCATTATGCCTTTCAGCAAGACAGAGGCGGTTGTCTGTCAGGCATGTGTCTTTAGAAGGTAGAAGGTGTGTGTAGGTCTGATCTGCTGATCAGATGTTTGGGGTTCCTGGTGTTCGTTTTGTCAAGCAACGACTAGCTTGTATGTGTACAAGTGTTTTGTACTGACTTGTTAAGGTAAAGGTGTGAGATCTGTACTGGTTTTGTGTGTGTTTGTATGCACAGGTTTATAGAGAGTAACTGGTTTGTCTGGATTACACAAATGAATCACATCCCGATGCACATCGATTATGATAAGAATGTGGACTGGTTCTCTACCCAGGTAAGACCTGCTTTCCAAAGACCTGTGAGTTCGAAGGTGAGACATTATAGTTCTGGCTATGTAATGCCCAAGAGAGCTGATCACAGAAGTGATGGGAACTGAGAGAGGAAAACGTAAGCAGCTTGGCCTCATTGTGTGAAGTGAGTGATTAGTGCAAAGAAAGAAGGTGCAGAAGTGCGATGGAAGCTTCAAATGCTGAGCACAAGTGCCTCAAGGAAAATAATTAGAGATGCTACAATGCTCTTCAGATAGAGAGCTTTCTGTGCAGGAAGGATGCAGATCTCTCTTGCGTGCTCTCTCTCATTTTATTTCTGAAGTCATTACACAGTTTTTTAAGTGAGGGAGGTGAAAGTCATGGTTGTTATGGCTTATCTCATTGAGGAAGTCAAGTCTGTTCTCCTAAACTATGTCCCTAACGATCGTATATCACAGCATGGCCATCTCGTGTTGACTGGAGATAGCTTTTGGAGTTGTTGTATTCAGCCAGAAGGCATGTGATGATATGGAACTTGTACCTGCTTACTGTTGTGTTTGGCACATGTAACAGAAGGGGCATTCCTAAAACAACACTTAAATGTTACTGTTTTTTTCCTCAGCTCCAGGCAACCTGTAATGTTCATCAGTCCTTATTCAATGACTGGTTTAGTGGACATCTGAACTTCCAAATCGAGCACCAGTGAGTTGAAGCATGGGTTGGGGATGGGGGGGTATTTCAAGGAGTGCTAGTTATACTAGGTCTGAAGAGCCTACAAGGTCCCTGTCTCTCTATCAGCTAATACAAGAACAAAAAATAATGTGGGTAAATTTTGTGCTCTTTATATGGGGATGGAATGGGAACTCCAAGAAACTTTTTGGAGCGCCAGTGAGCACCAACACCACTACAGATGTGAGTAGCATGGCACAGGAGTGAGAATTGCCAGCCTCCTGGTTAGTGCAGATACTGACTGAAGTGACATGAGAGGGACCACTACGGAGCACTAATGGCTATGGGCGCAAGGGGAGGTTGAGGCACTCCCAGGCTTAGGCACAGAAGAGGGGCAGGAATTCTGTGGGGTGATGATGGATGATGTTGAATCACCATATTCTTTTTCCACAGCCTTTTTCCTACAATGCCTCGACACAACTACTGGAAGGTGGCCCCTTTGGTGAAGTCCCTGTGTGCCAAACATGGTATTGAGTACCAGTGCAAGCCATTGCTCACCGCCTTTGCGGACATAGTGCAGTATGTATCAACCTGCTGCATTCCCTAAGTGACAGGTTTTACCGTATTATGGAGTAAACAAGCGAGGGACATGGGAAGGGGAGGGGCAGCCAGCTTGGATCACAGAAGTCCTGTGAATAATGTAGATGACTATGAAAGGGATTGGAAAACTTCAGCCACGGCGCTGGTTTCAGTAGCAGCAGACAGAAGGTGTCAGTAAGAACGACCTAATGGAGAGCTCCTTTTCTTCAGCTCTGAAGAGTCAGAGGTCAGTAGGATGCCAGGTTTGGCGCCTCTGGCTGTGAGTGTGCCCCAGGGAACAACGTGTTTTCATAGAGATGAGTTTGAACTGTCATTCATTCTTTCTTTTTTCTTTCATTCTTCCCTTCCTTGCCCCGCAGATATTTCTTATTCCATTGAAAAGTCTCTTCTGCCATGCTTGCTCCTTTTGTTTGCATTCTCATTAAGTTGTTTGCTTTAGCCTTCCAGTCTTTGTCTGATGTAGCCCCAGTGGTCTGCTGCTTCTTCAGCTTTCCAAGGAGCTGTAGTCTACATTGCCTTGCCTCTGAAGATCTCTGAGCAGCCTGATCTAGTTGAAGATGTCTCTGCTCATTGCAGGGGGGTTGGACTAGATGGCCTTTAAAGGTCCTGTCCAAGCCAAACCTTTCTATGATTCTATGATCTCCTTTGCTTAATCTATAGAGGGGAATTCTTCCCACAAGGCTCTGTTCCCTGGACGCTGTATTTCATTACCTTGTTTCTAAAGAAATGTGGTTCTCTCTTGGCAGCTCTTTGAAAGATTCAGGGGACCTTTGGCTTGATGCCTATCTACATAAATAAGCAGCAGTGGATCCTTACAGAGGAGTTCCCCACCCTTGTTGCCTCCTGTGGTGGTCACCATGAAGATACTGCACAGAGGAGAGAGAGCTGGCTAAGCCAGAGGTGGGGAAGTGGCGCAGCTTAATTCCATTGATGAATGCTACTAATACGATTTTTAAAAAGATGTGTTCTTAATTCTTCTTGTGCTTCTTTCATTCCTCTTCTCTGGTGCTGAGTTATGGGGAAAAGCTGAATGGAGGAGGTTGTGTTTGACCAAGCTGGAGGCAGCTTTGGGACTGGGAACAGATTCCTTTCTGCCTGCTGATACTTCATTTGCTGAGTACATAGGAGGGAAGTCTCTTATCTAACATAGGCTTTTGTGAGGTGGCTCTCACTGTGAATGTACTAAGAAAGTGGAGATAGTACGAAATCAAAGAACACGGGAGTTAGTGCAATGTGGAAGCAATAAGGAGTTGTGTAGGTACAGTATTTTCAAATACGTATGTGTAATTACCAATGGCAATAGAAGTGCCCAAACCAAGGGGCATTGGAGAGCACGTGAGAGCCCAAACCAATTTGTTTGTATGTGGGTGAGGCGGAGAAGGTGCAGGCAGCAGTTCTGTAGGAATAAGCATGAGGAAAAAGATCTAATTAGAGGCCTAATTGAGGTAGAGAAACAGGAAAGTGGAGGTTATTCCCCAGGCGTGTAGATGTGGGAGCTCGGCATGCCATATTCTGTACATTATTTGCCCATTCGTAACCTCCCATGGAGCCTCTGCAAGTGGTTTCCACAGTGCCATACTTCTGAGCGCTACTGAACCCTTTTACTGACAGAAGGGACAGAAATAGGGCACGTCCATACTCGGGATCCCTACAAGGTTGACTAAGGACGCAAAAGGGTAATCGGTCTGTGGTCACCTGAAGCTTCACTCTTTTTTGAACCTCCGAACTGATGAGTGATTTGTTAAGCGGAGAGAACTCCGGACTTCTGGCCCATGGAGCACGAGGTGTTCCTGTCTGAGCTGCAGACAAATTTAATGAAGTTGTAAAAGTGTTAGGGGTTGGAGTGCTGTTTAAATGCGTTTAACTTGTCAGTCAGCAGACGTCAGCGGGCTGCATACCCATAGGCACACATCAGCCAATACATTGCTGGTGTTTCTCTGTTGGATGACGTGCCTTCAAAACACACCCCAAGAGAGCACGTACTGTGTGATTTTATTGGCATGTTAATTAACCTTACTGCGTTTGCCGGTGTCTTTTCATTTACTACACCAACGTTCCAGATGCCAAACCAGGATATAGCACCTGGCATAGCACTAATGAAGATGGCTCCGTCACCCTGTTACCTCAGTGACGGGTGGCTTAGTCTCCAGAAGGGATGGGTTGATTTTGAGAACAATATGGTGCTTTTTCTGATCAACATCCAAAAAGAGGAAGGCTTGTGAGGGAATGGAAGAAATGCATCTTCCCAGGCCAAGAGTGCTGTTAAACACAGAATAAAATTGTAATGGAAATAAAAAAATAATAATTAAATCATTGATACCTGTTGATAAAGACCATAAAGAAAATGGGCCTTAGTTACTCTTCTACCTTGTTTTTTCCTGCTCCGTTTCTTTCCCTCTTATTATTAGAACTGTTGATGGAGGAAAGTCTAATAATAAAATTCCTTATGTTACCAATTATTGCTGTCATCAGAGTAAAATATGTCTGTTTAAGAGTCTGTACTCTCTAAAACATGGAACAAATGCCTGTCCACAGCTGCAGAGAGGGAACTATCATAAACCTCAGCATTTGTATTTCGGAGGAAGGGAATCAGCTTGTGTGAAGTATGCAGTATAAACAATTAACCAAAATTAATCCTCCCAAAACAAAACTGTACACCAGTTCTTCCTCCAGAATGAGGAGGAAAGGAAAGAAAGATCTACACCTGACTTCTGGAAGTTGCCTTACTTTATATGTAGGAAGGTACGCATGTCTGATGAAATCAAGAGCTGTTCTGTAAAGACTTAAATTCAACAGGCAATCAGCTCTCAGATGAAACTTCAGTGGCACTGCCAAAAGTTCCCTCTGACCTTGGAGTTTTGACCCTAAGCCACAGAGGGCCAGAAGCCTTGTTAAGCTAGTCAGGAGAGCTATTGAACTTCTCGGCTCCATAAGGAGCTCCAATCCCCCAGGCTAGGCTCTTCATACGTACGGAGAAAGCTGGACAAGTGGGGAGCTGCCTAAGCTAGGCAAGAGAAAATACTGAAGACAAGGAAGTCTTCAAAAATCCTCTAGAGATGTTCCATCTCCCTAACTCATTTCACAACTCTGAATTTTGTCCATTGGCTAAAACCACACAGACTGTCCTGGTAGCAAGAATGCTTCTATCTCCTCACGTTTTGGCCATAATTGCCAGGTTTAAGACTAAAGTTCACTCCTCCTCTCTGTGGCCCGGTGAACCTTTAATTCGGACGTGCAAGTAGAATGGTTTCAACAGGCAAGAAAGGTACTCTTCCTCCTTTGTCAGGACAGGTTTTCAATCATCTCTGATAAAAGGGAACAGCCTAAGCTTCTCTGGTTGCTGGATACTAGTGCTCTAGTCATGAAGATACTATAAAAGTGCAAGTACTTCCAACATGTTTTGAAGGAAGACAGCTAGACTTCAGCTCAGTTCATGAAGCTTTGAAAGTACTTACCAGACGGATTGTGGCAAATGAGGTAAGTAGAAGAAACGCTGCTTGTAGGTCAAGTGGGCCGCAAGTGCTCAGCAATGTTGAAGTGCTTGGTGTTGCCCAGCAAGTGGCTTTTTTTTGAATGTCCAGAGTCGGAACGTTCAGTATCTGGATGTTTAATTTTGAAAATTCAAATAAATTTGAGCTACCCCCTGGGCTAGGATGATCTAGAAGTTAACAGTTTTGAAGAGAATAATGTGTCTAAGTTCCACTTTAGTGCCTAAGACTTTGGAGACTCTTGTGTTTGCTCTGCCACGATAAAGACGAAACATCCACGATACAATAAACCAATTGCCTGACTAACCAGGAAAAATAACACGTATGAACTGATTCACAGTCCTAAAGGGTAAGACTGAACGGGGACCTGAATCAACGTAAGCAGCTCTGCATATGCTGAGTTTGCTAGAAGTTCTCCATGCGTATGACAGCTCAAGAGGAGAAATAAGCTGTACGACAGCTTCTTCAGTTTCTGTGATTACTCTGTTTATAGTCCACAGTGGCAGATTACCCTGAGACTTCGAATATTGAAATTTTACAACAATATTCAAATGCAAGTCCAAAACGCCTTTCACGTTCTCTGAACGTGCATTGAGATACATGTTCCTTTTTGGAACAACACCAGCCCCAAATTTGCCATTTAGTGGAAGCCCTTTGGCTTCACAGTTCAGCCTTAAAACACGGAACCCGAACATTGTGAAGTAGCCACAGGGTGGCAGTCAGGCATCAGAAGGGAAGGAGGACATCCCACTTCCCTGGGAACCGAAGCGTGAGTGTTTAAAGGCTCCAGTCTTGCTATTATCCTACTTTTCTGTTCACCTAAAGTATATATGAAATTAATGCACAGCTCAAAGCAACTTCTGGCTGATGGGAGAATGGAACTCCTAAAACTCGCTAACCAAAGCATTATATCCCCATCTCGCCCTCTGTAATAGGTAAGACTGTGTTAAAATAACCTTTGCCTGTAAGCAGGAATAGCTTGTTGGGCCTTTTGCTTTTGGGTCTTTATTTTAGTTCAGCCTAAACACTAGGAAATGAAAGGTATGCTAAATATCTAGTTCAGATTTAATAAACATAAAAATTCATTCTCTCTGAAGATCCCTGCGGTGGATCAGATCATGAGGTAGGGGAGACTCATTAATCTTCTCTGTTGGTAATTGTTCAAAGCCAAGTGACCACTAAGATGGTAGTTCTGAGGTTTTGTGTGTTGCATTCACATATCCTGTACTTACATGCTCTTTTTCTGCCACAGTTGTGGCAGGTTAGGCCATGAAGTATTTGAATTGCATGGTGTAAGGAGAGATTTAATGAATAGGGTAATTGTTAAAAAAACCTCAGCACTGTAGCAAGGCTTATTTAGGGATGAAGACAGAGCATTTACACCCAAGGTGAAGCCTGTTAGTCTTCAGCCTCTCCATGGGATTTGGATGTTGGGAGAGGATATAGTCCGCAAAGACGTTCAAAGGAGAACAAATTCATCAGGCATTTGCACGGGGTCTTAAAAACTGCAGTCTGAGGTTCATAAGGCTTTGACGATTATCCAGTTAAGTGGAGTATCATTGGACAAAGAGGTGGCTCCAGCCCAGAATAAATTACTTTTTTCAAATCAGGGAGGAACATTTTCAGCAATGGAATAGCTGGAATTATAAAAATGTTCAGGTGATGTTAAAACAGTTAAGGGTGATGGGGCAACTGGAAGAAGAAAATGCTGTAGCTTTCCCCTTCCCAACACCCACTCGGTTTTATTTGTTAATGATCTGGATTCGCAATCCTTGCCCAACCCATCTGTGTGTTTGCTTCCATTATCCTGAATTCCTGAAGAGGTGAAATGTTGTTTACGGAAATTTCTCCATCTTTAGAAAAGAAGGAGAAATGAAAATGATTGTAGGTCCATAAAGGATAGATAATGGATGCAGCTGAGCCGCTCGGAAACAGGATGATTTGTTGCTTCCCAAGATAGGTTCTTTTATAAGGAATATAAAAGATTTCTTAACAGGTCAGGTGTAGAAGACGTATTAATGCAACACTACTCATGGGTGGGGAAAGAAAGAGGATTACATGACACTGGAAGAGAGTTCATTGGCATGAATGTGGTTTCTGTGCGATTTACATCTGCTACGGAGACTAATATGAAGTGTTCAGAAAATGGTGAGGAATTTCTACAAAGAAAGTTTTGAAACAGCAATAAATAATAACGCACCGGTGAGTGCTTATATGAAAGGCTGATTATGATGGTGTCCTTTAGGCAAAATATTTTGCTTCTCTGAGAAGTAGCAATTTTGTAGAGTTGGAGGATCAAATGACACAATGCTTTTTTTTCAGGAAAATTAGCTTATAAATATACCACAATAAATAAAATATCATCTAACAGTGCAATTTTAATCACTGGAATGCTTGTCTAAGAACAAAAAAGTCTTTAGAACATCAAGTTTACATGTGTCTGACACCTCCAGTAGATGTTCTAGGAATACTGTGGAGACATAGTCATGGTGAAAATTGCCCTTCCACTTTGGTTGCTGGAGGCTTTGTTTCACAGGTTCTGCAATGCAATGG